TTGCTACTACTAAAAACAATTAAAGGAAAATAGACTATCGGAGCTAAAACAAACTATGGATAAGTTATGTAAGCTTTAATAACTACATTGCCTATGCTAATTATTAATGCTACTCCATATTTCCAGGGTACGCAATGCAGTAGTAACAGTACGTAACTATACCCTATAACTTTTATAGGGCTAACAATAGTTATAAATAAATAAGTTAATAAAGAATACAAAACCTATTGTATTATAATATTAATATAAAAAAGTTATAATTAAAAATCACTTAATATATAAATATGTAAAAATATATATTAAATATTTTTTAAAGTTTATAGAATTATTGTTAACATCAAAATTTAAGAATTAATAAATAAATTTAGGATTTTAGGATTTTAAATTTCAAAATTTACATTATTATAAATGGCATGCCTAAATTATTTTTACTAATTTACTAGATATTGGACCTGTCATTAAATGACAGGTTTTAATTGTCATGATTATATGAATTTATATAGCAAATACAGTATATACTACTTATATTAAACATTGAAATTATCAGTATGTTTATCAAAATAAAAACCTTAATGCTTTTTCTTTGATATATGCTTTTGTGATTATCTATAGGATTAAAGATATATATTTTAAATCTTTCCTGTCTTCTAACTATAGTATATATGATACACTTTATTGAAGCACTTCAGAATAGACTATATTCTTGGTATATTTTTTATGTTGTAATTGTTCAAGATAGATGCATAGTCTTTAATGTAACACCACTCTTGAACATGCGACATGTAATTGTTCATGTGAAAATACAGGAGTTGAAATATAAAGTCCAAGCCAGTTCTTAGTTTGTCCTTAAGAATTGTGAATAGACATCAAAAATGCAAGTTTGCATGGAAATTGATAGTATTTCTAAATAAAGGGCATTAGAGTGATTGTAGGGGACAGTACAATACGAGGTAAGAATATTTTTTTTCTAATCAGAAATCTAGTAACAGGTTCTACTTCAATAATGTGCTGTTAAAGTGCTCTAATAATTAATCGAGTTCTATTGCAAAGACCCTCAGCTATGTTGATATTGCACAGCAAAATAATGGAAACGCCAATTTTAAGTATTAATACATGTGGCGGTAATTCACTAAGGTTTAATGAATTAAGAAAGTCAACTAAATAAAGATCTTCCTAAGCAGGATTATATGTTTTGGAGTTCTGATCTAAGGTATTTTTACTATAGTAAGTTATCTCTTCTCCAGGAAATTGAGCAAGCACTTCTGCATTTAACATGTCAACCTCATTATTTTGTGAAGCAAGAATTCCTCTCTCAATTAAATATGTCACATCTTGAGCTTGTGCATGCAGATTTGGATATACAAAGTTAATTAACCCTTGATATGTATTATATTTAAGTACAATGTCTAATGATAAGAAAATATAACCGTTATTATATGTAACTTCAGGAATGCGTCTCTCACCAAGTTTTAGTAGTCAATTAGCAAATTGTAAAAGTCTTAAAGAAACTGTTAATAATTTCAAAAGACAGTGAACTTTAGTGTTTCTTATTTTAAACGCCAACAGAAGTTGGGACTTTATTAAGGTCAAAAGGGCATCCTTTTATATATGTTGGCTTCATACAACGTAAAAATACATAAATAATAAATATAAAAATACATATATCTATATTGGGCTTAACCTCTGGAGACATATGTACTTAATTAATACAAAGAGACATAAAAGGAA